AATGCATCTAAGTACTTTTAAAATACTTTTGGCTTTTTTTTAAAAACATGACTGATCCTACAGTAGACTATCATACATTTTTGGTTCACTGGAGCTTTTGTTAAGAACCAGATTGCAGAGGGAAACATTTATTTCTTCCATTCTTTGTTTTATAGAAGAGTAACTTTTAACCACTTCCATATGCGTTTTCTTTCTCCAAACAAGACTGAAACAAAGTTGGAATGCCCTCAAATCCTAATGTCATAATAGTGTATGAAGGCTTTGAAGGATGAAATCTGGATCTGCTTTGAAAACCTCTCTCTCTTGCTTGTTGGTTTGTTGGACAGACTTAAATGAAACCAAAACTCAAATGTTTAAAATCTTTACATGAGCAGTTTAACTTACCAGCCAGTATAGGAGAGTTACATATGAAGTCATATCTCATAGCAGCTCCCTGGATATATGTTGTGAATAAGAAGTGAACAAGACAGAGTACAGTGTATGCAAAGCATATGAAAATAACTGAATTAGAACACAGTTCTGCTGTGTAATCTCCATGGAGTGGTTGAACAAATTTGAGATTGTGTGAAATAACATTTATGTATTTGTATGAAAAATGAGGAAGCTGATATGTACAGGGCAAATCAGGAGTTCCCTTCTGCAAGATGTGGCACTTTTCAAGGCACTGGGTACTTTTATCCAGCCACAGAGTCAAAAGAGCTGGGATGCTGCCTCCTATCTTCAATGTGTTTCACATAATACTGCATTTTCTTGTACAGTTATTTTTTATGATCCCTAGCCCACCAATGTTTAGCAAATTCCTAACATTTGTGTGGGTGCCTGACTTAGAAATCATGATTAGCTTTCTTGAGGATGAGAAAGTGGGAGTGGGATGCACTATAAGGAGTTGCTTAAACCAGACCAAAAAAAGACTAGGAATTTTTAAAAAAGGTAAAAATCTGGGAAAGAGGTAGACACTACTAAGCACAGAAAAAAAAAAATCAACCTTGTTTTCCTAATTTGCTTCTTCCAGCTCCCAGAGTCAAGTTACTCCGGAGAAACAATTGCAAACATTGCTGCCCCACAATGTCTGGTTATTGGGTAACAACTGCCCTGTGTTCATTGCCTGCAATAGCCTGTGAAAATGCAGTACTTCAGGCTGCCAGAAGTGAACACAGGCCAAATTTCTCTCACTTGGAACATGAAATTGTAAGATCACAGAAGATACATGAGAAATAAAATGACACAGAGGTTAAAATGACATAGAATGAGATGCTTATCTGATGTTCACTCGGTTTAGCAACTCTGTATTTCTGAAATAAATTAAAACAGAGATAGGATCACAACAATTTTGGATGACAGAGATAAATTGAAAGGATCCCTCAATGTTTCCTGGAGAAAAACTGCATTCAACATGAAGTCTGTGTTTTATATAGAACATCAACAACAGCAAGGAAATGGACCATATGTTCTGTGATTTATTGGTTCCCAGGAACCGATCTGACCTTTCACTGGTGGAAATAAGAATGCTGAGCTACACAGATCAGTAGTTATGTGCAGTGTAAATTTGTATGTGTGCTGTATTATTTTACATAGACTCTGGTCCAGGAGATGGAAAACTGGCACAAGTGCATACCTTGACTCTGGAGGCAGATCCAGGAACCCGTAGGATTCCTTCGGTTTCCAAACCTGTTTCCTCAAGCTTGAGCAGCAACTAAAAGAAAAAACAACAAAACCCAGGAAAAACCTCAGAAGTGCTTAAAAATACTATTGGCTTTTTTTCCATCTAAGTATCCTTGAAACTAATTTGAAAAAGATACATTTCTATGGAATTTCCTAATGAAAACAAGACAGTTCATGTAAATAAACCCGCCTAATTTGTTCTCCATTTTCCTGACCCTGAAGTAAGGAATATGCAGAGTAGGGAAAACTGTTAATGCAATAGACCCCTCTGTCCTTGACTGCAGAGCTGGCACTGCTATAGAACAATTAACCCATAAATGTATTAATAAAAGGGCAGATATGCTGGGTAAAACACAATGGTGTTTTGAGGGAAAATTAACCTCTGAGAAATGTTTGAGTGTGCCCCAAGGAGAACAATAGAAAGGTCTACAGATAACATACGTTTTTTGGGAACTGAGAACTCAGATTAGAAAATGGTCCCAGGATACTTTATTTTGAAATACCTGTGAATAGAGAAATAGACTTTCCACTCTAATTCTTTATATTAAAAATAAGTGTTTTGATTTTACATAAATTTCAGCATTGAAAAAAAATAAATTTCCTAACATTTAATAATACATCTCTGGATTTTTACCACCGGATCTGCTTCCTGCCTTAACTATTGGATCTTTCTAATTTCTCATGGTATCTTGGCAGGAGAGCTGTGGAGCTGATTACAAAGTCATGTAAATATTCAAGTCGTGACAGTCTTTCCCTTGACACTCCACATCACTTTCCCTTTTATCAATATTTACAAGGAAATTTGAGTCTGTCTAAATCTTTGTAGTTGCACTTGTACTTGTGCCTGCGTACCTGTCTCCAAGAAATCCACTGGATGTAACTGTACTGCCAAATGGCTCATATAAGTGCCATTGTCTTGTCATAGAAACTTCAATGAGAAGGTATCATTTCCATTCTGGAAACAGTAGCTAAGAATACCTAAGGTTTGAATTAATGTGAAATTTAAACTCCTGAGACAACTCATATCTGCCACTTCTGCACACACATAATTTTGCATGGTTCTTTAATTTAACGAAAAAGGGAAACAGAAAAGACATTTGTTTCCTGAAGTTTCCTGTGTGGTATCATATAATTACAGATATCAAAAGAGGTTCCCACCATAGGTAAAACACACAAAAGGAGCAAATTTTGTCTCCTTGTCACAGAGTTTTCAAACCATGTTACACAGTCTGACAAGCTGTAGACACCCGTAAGTCTGTAAAGCCTGCACCTTCTCTTATCTGATGACTCTTTAGAGTGCCAATGAAAGTGATGGAGACAAAAATCTTAATGACCAAGCAGACTGAATTATACTCACTTTTTGGAAGATGAGGGGAACTTTTATTCCAGGAACCTTCTTTTGATCATTCTCCAGCAATATGTTGAGAGGGACTCCAAAAAGACCATTTTCTTAAAAATAACAACAACAAATGTGAAAAAGAGGAAACACCTATGCACCTTCTTTGCAATGCTGATTAACACCCAGGTGTCTGCAAAGGGGATGCCACAGCACAGTACCTCGTCCCCGCACCCTCTCTGCGCGGTTCCTCTTCAGTTCCACGCCCAGTGCGTCGTAGAAGGCAGTTAACTCAATCAGGGACAGGTAGCGGATCTTCTTCATGTCTTCAGGAGAGAGGTCTCCAACTTCTGTCAGTCCAAACCGGCTTTTCCGAACAATGAATTTCTACAGTAGAGATGGGTCGCATCTTTATTTGCACAAAAATTACAGGAAGTGAACTTATGTTTTGAAAGAAGTGCCCATATGTGATAGGAAGTCGTGTTTGGGTATATGGGTGACAACAGAGATGAACTATAACCCTATATATTGGCCTGGTATGTTGACACAGCCTGCATCCTCCTGAACATAAAATTTTGCTTCTTGTTCACCATGGTCCCTTGCAGTGTGACTGGGAAGCAGTGCTGGAGTACCTCAGTACCTCAGTTCTCCAGCTGGGACAAATGAGCT